TGCAAGGAAAAATACAACAGCGGTATCCTGTACATTCTCCTAGAATATGTTTTTTGGAAGAACAAGATTTTTTTTTTTACACAGGAGAAACTGAAGAACTCACCACAGCTCTTTTGCAGTACAGATGAACCTTTTAATTTATTTATCCCTGGCAGACAACTGCCTAACAACATGTCAAAGACTTGAGCCTATGATGATGGTTTTATTTCCTTCATCCCTGACACTGACAGGCTGCAGCACTCCCATGACCCTAATAAGTCAATATCTACTTCTACTACATCAAAGGTGTTAATTCCAATTTTGCTAACCACCTATAAAGATGATGCATTGGAGGGGGAAACAACGGCTAGTGGCAGAACATCTCAGGAATCTCTTGATATACAAAACAAGGACCAAAGCATCTCTATCAGTGATGCTGACAATAAAGATACGGACTCCTGTATGTCTACAGAACAAGTTAAACATTTTTTGACCAGATAAAACCTTATAAAACTCAGAGACTCAAGGCTGCATCAGCTGCAACCGCCGCCATCTTGGGAATTCTTCTGTATGTCTACAGAAAAAGAAGAACTTCTAAGGTTTGACACTGAAACCTTTAAAAGGGACTTAAGATAATTTTTTGGAAATTGTAGAGCCTCCTGGGCCCATAAATGACTCTGAAATTGATACCTTTAATGGTTGAGGACAGCTTCTTTGAAGGCTGTTAATTTTTACTCCAAAAGTACATTGATTTGCCAGGTTTGGTAGGGCAGCGGATGAGCACTACACCAACAAGGAATGAAGATTCATACTCTTCCCTGCATGGTGCATTTAAAACATCTAGGCATCATGGGAACTGTCGATGGCATGATAGGACAGTGTTGGGAATAGGCATAGGCCTAAAAGGCAAAGGCTGCGGTCACACGGAACAGTAGCCACGCTAGTGAGACGGAAGTCAGGCGCATTTTCTGGGCGCGATCTCACCGGCACATCTGGGAAGTGTAGCACTCCCGTGGCTCAGCCGAGGCTTCCCAGCAAAGACGCGCGGCAAAAAACTAGTACCTCGGAGGTACTAGTTTCCGGAAACTGCGGGGTAAGGGCAGGCGCGTGATCGTGTTCCAGGTGGAATCCCGTGGCATCCGGCGCCCGCCCGTGTCCCCTCACAAACAGCTTTATTTTTTTTCTCAAGTCTCCACAGATGCGCAACAGCACCCAACGGAGCATGCACACACTGTGTAAACAAACAACAAAACACCCCGTTTCCAGACGCTGGACGTTTGATTCACGGTGCAAAGTCAGGGAGATAACAATGCATCGAGGGGAGGGACAAGTCCAGATGGTCAGCAAGGGGGAGGACACTGCTGCTGGCAGCCGGAGGGGCTCGGCCGAAGGAAGGGGGCTCCTTGCAAGGGTATTGGGGGGGGAGGCTGGGGAAAGTCCCTCCGTGTCCTGAGAGACTCCGTGTCCTTGGGAGACTGGAGGCTGTTCAAGCGGCTTCCCTTCGCAGTGGCACATGTAGGGAAGGGGGGGCTGGGAGTGAGATTTGGGTCGGGAGAAGGGCAGAAGGATGGAGCAGATCAAGGAAGGGGGAGGAGGGGGGTGTTGAGGGGAGGTTTGGGGGACAGGGGGCTGAAGGAACGGCTGAGGGAGTGGGGAAGGGCGGCTATAGGGGGACAGGGGCTGTGTCGTTTGACCCTCGGAAGACCCACCTGAAACAGAAACTGAGGAGTGCAAAAGGGGTTTTGTTTCCAAGTCTCCACTGGATGCGCACAAGCACCCAACGGAGCATGCGCACACTTCAGTTTAAACAAAACAAACACAACCCCATTTGCCGCGCCCCGCTTCATTGCCTGTGGTGTGATCGACACCTCCCCCCTAAGCTTCGGACCTCCATGGGAGTTACACGGGACGTCGGATCGTGCAATCGCGCGGTTATTTAGCCCGGGGCAAACAGCCACGCTTCCCCCCCGCATTTTTCGGCCCGTGTGACCGGAGCCTTTAAAAACCTTTTTGGTTTTCAAAGTCTGTGACTTTCAAACTGACTGAGGAGAGGGTCAAGAATATATCCCTCAAATCTGGTGGATGGATCTGGACTGAGTCTAGATATTCCCCACCACTAGTAAACACATTTAGATGCCAACTTTCAAATACTTTTATACTCTCCTTTCCCCCTTGTCAACTTTTCTTAATCCATGGGATTTCATTTTTGTTTAATTGTACCTTGGAAACCACATTTTTTAAAGGATAAAGATAGTTTACCACATCCTGCACTTCTTGCAGCTTCATGTTTGGTTGTCATTTTGTTTGTGAAGTTTAAGTCTTTTTATTCGGCTGCCTCCTTGTTTCATTAGCCAGGATACTTGTTTGTGAAGTTTAAGTCTTTTTATTCGGCTGCCTCCTTGTTTCATTAGCCAGGATACTTTAATTTTAAGTAGTTACGATGACTGAGTTGCTAGAGCCTTCGCTGATGTGTCTAACGTACTTTTTAATGTTTTCCCACATGCTGCCAGCAACTGTGTGATTTTATGAAACCTCTTTTTGATACTGGCGTTGTGTTTTGAGAAGACATTTAATAAAACTTATTAAAAAAACAACACGACATTATTCCAAGGCTGCATCAAGATCTTGTTGTTGTTGCAAGTGCAGAAAAGGAACATCTATACAGCAATTTTATTCACATTTTTCTGGCCTCAGCTTACATTGCTGCCTCCACCCCTCTGCCATTGGAGAGCTATTTTCAGGAATTTAAAAACCATTAATTGCTAGATCGTCATAGTGTTATAAAATTACAAGCCTACTGGTTTCTCTGAATTCCCAGCTTTCTTTTTTCTAAGTCTCTAGATCTTTTCATTGTGGAGATATACGGGGAAAGATGCACTCCTCATGTCTCTGAAGTGAAAAGGGCTAAAGGTTTCTACATTTTAATAAAAGCTGGGAATTCAGAGGAGTTCGCAGTAGATTCTAATGTTATCATGATAAAGAAATCTATCAATTAATGCTAAAAAGCCTGAAATCAGCCCTCTGGTAAAATGGCAAAAAGAATAGCGAGGAGCTGAGGGAAGAAAAATGGCACAGTGTTGGAAGGACTGTTATCCAAACACACACCTCCTTGTCCATACTGCTTCATGACAGTCTTGGACTGCACTCTTCCCAAAAAGACCGGGGAAAAGCAGGTTTGGAAAAGAATGTACTGGGGATGGGAAAAGGAGGACTGGAGCCCAATCAGACCACAGTGCTATGCAGGTGTTCCAAAAACAAGTGGTGCGCATTGGCAGACAAAGCAGACAAAACTCTTGGTATGCAGGTGAGCCCAAGTTGGCTATTATCATGTTATTTATTTATTTATTTAAATTTCTTTAATCAGATTTTTAAAAATCACCCTTCCCCGCTTGCACAGGGCTTAGAGTGGTTCACAATAATTTGGTTCAATAACAAAAACAAGTTAAAATCATAAAGACACAATATTTAAAACATTCAAAACATTTAAACATTTTAAGAACAAGATGGCAGTGCTAGCATTCAGTCGTGGGGGTGGGGAGAGTGCCAGTTAGATATAAAGAATCATCACTGGCCTCAACCAAAGGTCTGGACAAACATCTCTGGCCTGTGAAACTTTAACAGATCAGACAGGGCATGGATGTTACTTGACAGAGAGTTTCGCCAGGCTGGGGCCAGGGCAGAGAAGGCCCTTGCCCTGGTCAAGGCCAACTGAATATTTTTTGGATCAGGGACCACCAGAAGGTTCTTGTCTGCTGATCTTAATGCCCTTTAGGGAACATACCAGGAGAGGTGGTCCTGGAGGTACATAGGTCCCTGATCATTAAGGGCTTTAAAAATAACCACCAAAACCTTGAATCTGATCTAGTGCTCCACCGACAACCAATGCAGTTTGAGCAGCACTGGATGTATGTGTACTCTCTGTGGGGTTACCATAAGGACCCGCACTGCCACATCTTGTATCAGTTGGAGCTTCCGGGACAGTTTCAAGGGTAGCTCTACATAAAGGGAGTTACAGTCATCCAGCCTGGAGGTGATCGTTGCATGGATTACTGTGGCAAGGCCACGGTGAGACAGACAGGGGGCCAGTTGCCTGGCTTGGTACAGCTGGAAAAATACCCACCGGAGACAACACTGGCGATCTGGGCCACCATAGATAAACTGGGCTCCAGGATCACCCCCAGACTCCCGACAGTAGGTGCCGGTGTCCGAAACACTTTCAAGGGCTGGGAGTTGGCTCCCCAATCCCAAGTCACCCCCTCCAGCCACACAACCTCCATCTTAGTTGGACTCAGCTTTAACCAGCTTTGCTTCAACCATTCCACTACAGCCTCCAAACCCTTGACCAGATTTTTTCAGGGCAGAGACTGTTCAGCCACCCATCAGCACATATAGCTGGGTATCCTCATTGGTGACACCCAATGGTGTCACCCAAGCCCAAAGCTCTAAACCAGCTGGGCAAGGGGCACATATAGATATTAAACAGCACTGGGGGACAGGATCTCCCCCTTGCTAGCCTGCTGGCAGATTCGCTATGAAAGGTAAAGCCAGGGAGACTTCCCATGAACTTAGGCAAGCTGTATGAAAGAGGAAAAACTGAAAAGAGAAAGTGGATGTGTAAGAAACAAGGGCTATCACTCTCTCAGACAGACAAATGCTACTGAATTTCACAGCCCCATTGTTTCAATGTGAAAATAGACATTTTTGTTTTTTGTATCTTCCCTTTAGTTTTTGTCATTTTTTGTTTCCTCACACCAATGAATTTCTGCATAATTTTACACATTTTAATGAACCTGTTTTCAAAAAGTGTTTCACAATCCATATTTTTCTACATTCACTCTTTGGTAAGGGTTCTCCAAAATAAGATTCTGAATCCACCAAAAATGGAATCCCCAAAGATTCCACATGTGCATGATTTTTTTTTTCTCATGTAGGAGTCTTTTGCTTGGCCGGGTGAGCAGTATGTATCAGCAGACAGAAGGGGGGGGGGGGGATGAGTCAGCAAATAGGTGCTGGTCCCTTACCACTATGTAGATCTGGGGCTTCCGTCTTTTGGCTAGGTCAATGATGTTGACTCCATTGTAATAAAGGTTCTCAATGCAGCCATGGAAATTCTTCTTCAGAAACGTTCCTGGTTTTCCTGGGACTGGGATTCCTCCAAAACTGAGCTTTGGGAGAAAAACAAACACAGCCATCTTTTAAATTTCCAGAAACTATATTATTAGGAAAAACACAGGGAGAGCCTGAGGGTCATCATGAAGTGGTATTATCCGACTGGAGGCATACGTTCAGTGGGGAAAGGAAGGTATGGCATTTCTGGCCTCACTCTAGTTTTGTTTTTGAGAATTTCATTGAATAGCACATTCAAGTTTAGAAAATACTTTGGCTGATCATCACTGTGGTGGCTAAAAGGTGCCCACTACCATCTTGAAGGCACTTCTTCTACTGCATCCTTGTCTAAACAGATTTTTAAAAACAGTTTTAAAGAAATAAAACAATTATCACAGGTCAACCAGTACTTGTACTTTTTTCAGCTACTATACCTGAATAATGCCTCCCACTTCTTTTTGACTGTGTAAGTACTATGTTACAGCACTCTGGACATACTTAGGCAATGGTCAGAAAGCCTACCTTTGAGGCAAAGCAAGGGCTAATCTTTGCCAGTGCTCCACCCCCCCTCCCCGTTACTAATATACTAAGCACTAGTCAGAGCACTAAGACCTAAGTGAAATTCAAAGTCAGGTTGTGTCTGTGCTCAAACTGTGTGTTAAATGGTGGCAGTGATTAATATTACCCTTCATCCCCTTTTCTCCACCATAATCTGAGACACCAGGGATCATTGCACAATCCTAGCATCACTTCAGAAGTAGCCTTGCTGAGCACTATCTAGGGATGTGCAGAGCATGCCATAACAAAATCAATGATCAACTACACGAGTCAAGAAGAAGAAAAGAGTTTATTTGCAAGTGGACTGGGTGGGGGAGAGATCCCACCCTCAAATCACTACACAGAGAAACGCTGTCTGTCAATGAGAAAGTGAGGTAAGAACCCTCCCCCTGTAAGCCAGTTTTCTGTTAGCAGAAAGGTTTTGTATAGGGGAACTTTTAATAAAGTGAAACTCTACCTGCAGTCAATGTTCTCCCACCTCAGTGAGGCCAAAATCCTCTGCCTAATGGCCTTGGGAAGGAGCAACCTTCACTTAGCACTTCTGTGAAGAAGTCACCAAGCCTTGTTTGAAGCCCCGCTGCACTAGAATACGACAAATGTACATTCCTATGGAATGTTAACCTATCAAAAGCAATCTTATTATTGACGGGACAAAATCTGTTCTTTTGAGAGGTCTCAATGGCTTGGACCCAGCAACCCACGACAGAAAGACTTCTACTTGTGCAAAATCTTGTGCGACACCTAGCACTTTCCTCTCTAAAAAGTGGCCAGAAATTGGTTGCACAGGATCTTGTGCAAGTGGAAATACAATACATTTGAAAGTAAAAGCAGTTACTGCGATCTTTTTCTTTCATTTACACAAGCGGGAATTTTATGCTGGATTCAACTTATTATTTCTTGCTTCAGACAGTCGCTGCCTCTGCTCCTTCTCCTTCAATTCTTTGAACTTTCTAGCTCTGTGATTCCATTCCATTCCATTCTTTTCTTTTCTTTTTTTAAGGGAACAATCAATATCAATTATAGTGTTACATTATTAAAAACAGTTTCCTTAGTGATCAGTAATATTTTAAATTGCCAAACTAATTGTTTTATTTCCCTTGGCTAGGTCTTTCATTCCCCAAGTGTACCAAGATAAACTTTCATTCATTCAAATGTTTAATACGGTCAAAAATCCATACAATTCAGCCACACACCCCTGATAAAATCTTAAACATAAAATTAAACTAGGCATTTCCATCTAAAAATTGTTGGCGATATCTTATGGCCTTCACTGCAAATGTTGCCACCATTAAAGTAATTTCTTGATTCTTGTTGGCCAAAAGAGGAGGAGGAGGAGGAGGAGAAGAAGAAGAAGAAGATGATGATGATGATGATTGATGATGATGATGATGATGATATTGGTTTTATATCCCACCCTTCACTACCAAAGGTATCTAAGGATAAACTTTCATTAGGCTACACTAGTGTTGGGGTGAAGTGATGGTGACATTAAAACTAAATAATAAGTCTGAATGATTTCTGCTCAGGTGGATGGGATCATTACGTATAAATTAGCTTTCTATTTATTTTTTATCTATTTTTATTTTATTTAACTTATATCCCTCCCTCCCCACAAGCAGGTTCAGGGCAGGTTACATCAGTATCAAGACAATGTAATACAATTCAATTTAAAACAATTTTAAAACAACAATTTAAAACAGTACAGAATCATAAAATATCATGTAAAAAAAATAAGATCAGGTGTCAGTTAAGACGTCAATCAGATCAATTAAGATACAACAGAAGAGTAGGTACTCAGGTGTCTATTTGGATCCAGGCCACTGATGGGAGATTAGCCCACTGGTGGGAGATTAGCCCACTGGTGGGAGATTAGCCCATCACAACTTTGTGATTGCTCTTGATTTGGAATTGTGCTCTGGGTGTAGGGTTGCCAGTTTCCCTCTGGGACCAGGTATGTCTCATCCCCAGCTCATATTGCTTGCTACCCCTCAGCTGGACAGCAGGAGGAAATGCAATGTGAAAAGGAGGGCACAGTCAGCACCCACAGCATGATGACATTCATTCTGGTGCAACTTGGAAGGGACATCAACACAGAGAGTGATGCCGTAGTGTTTGCCCAAAACGCTACAATTAAACTATAAAGTTTTGGATGAATACTCAAGCATTACCCCCAGCACAATGATATCACTCCCAGGTCATTGCCAGAAACAGATGGATCCAAGTGGTTTTCTGACATTTTAAAGCATATTCTATAGATTTGTCAGGAGGGGAGTCCTTACCAACCCCTCCTGCCGATTCATCACCTCAGTGAGGAGGCGGAGGGACCGGGTCTTTCCAAGCTCCGGGGTCCAGAAGCTGCCACAGGGGTCAAAAATGGCAACCATGAGGGATGGGTCCAGGTCCTAAGCCTGGAGAGGAACCGAAGGGGGTTCCGCTGTTTCAGAGGCAGCCAGAAGGGAAAACCATCTGAGGATTCCCGGGCACCCCAGATCTCTTGCCTTCCAGACCTGCCCGAGGAACCCCAATGGCCAAGGGATCACGAGGAAGCCAGCTGGGAATGCACCGACGGAAACAGAGAGTGGACCAATCCCATGGCCACGCTCATCTGAAGGGAAGAGGGCGGGGCCACAGCAGGGAGGAGGGAGGATTCAAAAGGAGGAAGCAAATGCTGACCAAGGAGGATGACACCTGGCACTTATGAGGAACGAGGAATGGAGGAGAGGGGGGTGCAAGAGAGAGACCCATGAATTCGGCAACTCAGAAATAAGTGCCAGGTTTGGGGACATACAGTGAGGTAACCGGTCTCTCACCCTACTATCTGAGGTCAAGGAGCATCCTCTCTCAGAATTCTCAACCCTGGAACCAGCCCGGCTCCCTTCCACACCCCTGAACACCGGCAGAGTTGACAAGGTTGATGACAACACTTTCCCACCAATGTTGCATCTGCGCAGTGTAGGCCAGCAAAGTTGTCTTGGGTAGTCAGTGACCTGTTGGAATCTGGGATTCAGGAGAAGATGGGCTGCTCAGTGGTCCACTGGGACTATTTTGCTTAGAACATTTCCTCCTTTCTCACTAGGACTCAAGGCGGAATATGTAAAGTGAGTCAATGTAATTGATGGAATGGGGCATTCAGCAAATAATGCAATAGTATTCGGGTTATAAACCCAACCAGAAGTATACAAACAGAAATGAAGCAAAGCAAAAGTATTAATATGACCCATTAAATGATGCAAACTTCCATAGTAGGATCATGGATAAAATTTGTATCTGTTTGTGACTTGGAACAGATATGATGTACTGATGCAGCCCTCCCAGGAGACAGGGGTTGGGTTTGGCAAGTCAGGGGCAAGGGTGCAGAGAGGAATCAGGATCCAGTCCAGATGTCAGGGATTCCAGAAAGCAGGTATGCAAAGTTCAGTCTAGGTTCAAGGAATTCAGGCAGCAAGTCCAAGTCCAGTCCAAGGGTCAAGGTTCCAGCAACAGCAAAGTCAGTGGCTCAGCAGCAATGTGTACTTGTTCTCCCGGCTGATTGTATAGCCAAGTCTTAACAAGCTACCGACCAATTCCTTGGCAGTCATCCTGAAACTACTCATCCATCTCGTCAGTTGACAGCTGACGATGGGCCATGAGTCTTGCACTCCTCCTCCTTTCCTGCAACTCATCTTGCCTCTGACAGCATTGGCACTGCAGGGGTGTGGGTGAGCTAGGTGGGCTGGGAGTGGCTTCTGAAGCCTTGTGTACTGTTTCAGGTTGATGCTTGACTGGGAAGGAGATAGGGTTGCCAACTCCAGGTTGGGAAATTCATGGAGATTTGAGGGGTAGAACGTGGAGATGGTGAGGTCTGAGGAGGGGTGGGACCTCAGACACAGACAATGCCATAGACCTCACCCTCCAAACCAGCCGTTTTCTCCTGGGGAATCATTGTTGCCAATCTCCACATAAGGGGTGGAGATCACTCAGAATTACAACTGATCTCCAGGAGGGAGGGCAGAAGTCAGCTGCAGTCAGAGGGGCAGATAATGGTAGGTTGATGGTTCGCTGGGAAGGGGATGGGGTTGCCAACTCCAGGTTGGGAAATTCCTGGGGATTTCAGGAGTGGAGCCTGAAGAGGATGCAGTTTGAGGAGGTCACCACAGCAAATTGACACTGAGTGCCCAAGGCCTTGGCACACTCCCAGAGTCTCTTTCTAGAGCTCGTATTTATTTCCACAACGGCCTTATTCCTAGTATACTATATAGATATAGTAGTATATTAGAGAAACCAAAATAAGCTGCAACCAAGCTCAAATCAAAGCTTCACATGAAAGCAACTCTGAAGATACACACTGACAGCAAGACTCTGATGTTAAGTGAAATAAAAATTGACATGAGTCCTTTCACTAGCACTCTTCTGAATGAGCACACACTTGAAATTTAAAGTGACAGGACAAATAAGAAAGTCATTTCTGCCTTCCTGAAGGTTTCTGGAACAAGGGAAGCTAATCATACTCAAGATCAGCCACTCTAGTATTGAATTCAAGCCTTGGCTAAGTGAGGGTACTGAATGCTTTCCTAAACACTGCGTCTGTTTTGGTGCCGGGCAATTATTACTGCCAGAAGATATAAACATTTCTCTCACACATGGCATGCTGCAGCATAGGAGAAAAGAAGAAGCATTTTGCTTGAAGTGTTGGAGAGAAAAGACAGAATAATAGAATGGTGAGCCAAGCACCTGTAATTGCCATTGGTAAGCCATCTGCTCCTGAATTAACAGTGAACTGGGAATTGCCCCTTTAAAGGTAAAAGCAGCCAAAAGTGACATGAGCTATTTGGACCGGCATCCAAATAAGGGATATCATGTTCTTGACATTGTTTTCTTAATCTGCCAACTGTGAAATTTATTTAGTTACAATTTAACAAGAGGGTAAACCAGAAATATTAACTGGAAGGAACAGAAAAATGGAAAGCAAGCAACCTATGGTGTTAAAAATACAAGTGATCTCATCTCTTCAAATGGCTTGGCAGACATGAGCAATCAAATGTAATACAGGAAATGTGTGAATTAGATAATTCCATGTCAATATGGATACTTGCCTTGGATTAGAAATGCTAACCACTTTAACAAGGTGCTTCAATTTTCAGATTATTTCTCCCCCACTTTACAGGGAGGGTGGGGCTTCTCAACCAATGTTAACTTTTCTCTGCTGGAACTGGTGATATCAACATTTTAAGCTAGCTCAGTTACAGGATGGCTCAGTTACAGGAGAGCAAATAAGATCCTCATTCTACCTCTATGGAACAGATAACCAGACAGGAAGCACATGAGATTATGTGACCACCATACATACAAGAAAGGAAAATCTTCCATTTTCTGAATTATGGGAAAAGGTCTTAACAAATGTTTCCATTAATAGACCACTGTAAAAACAGAAGTGTTGAACCTAGTATGACAAACACTAAACCACTTAAATACATAGCTACTTTAAAGTCTTTCCCATCATAGCAATCTCCATGTGGCAACTCATGTGTGTGAAAGAGCTTGAGCAACAATCTGGGAAACTATTGTTGTTTTTCTTTCTCTTGCCTTAGAAAACAGACAATAATTACAAAAATTAATATTAAAAAATGCAGTGCTGCTTGGAGAGTGGCTACACACAACTGGTTTGGTATGTGAAAACTGCTGTCACAGAGAGGAGTTTTAAAAATCCTGCATTCCAACCATTCTGTGCGCATAAACTTACTTGCATAATCAGGAGATTTAGCAGGGATTCAGACAACCAGCCTATCCGGTGCTGGGAATCTATTAAAAAGGAGCCAAAAGCAATGGAACAACAGGCAGTCCAGCAACCAGCTGACAGTGGAGTCAGTAGGTCACTGGACCTATCTAGATAACTTAGTTTGAACTGATCCTTTTCAGTTTGTGACTCCCAAGGCTGATGGCTACTGGAAAGAAAAATCACTAGTGGGTGAATCCCAAAAGTTCATATATTGGATTTTACATTTCTGGAAGGCAAGAATGTAATCTATCATCACCAGGATTTCAGAGCATCTATTCTTATGAAGAAACAGAATGGAAGCTTCCAAGTATACTTCTTCTGGGGTTCTAAGCAAGGCTCATTGTTAGAGACAGAATAGATGAGGCACCCACTGTAAGGACCCCTATGTACCTATACAAAGGGGAGCAACTGGCAGAAAACACCCTTTATCATCCCCCCCCCAACACTCTCTGTGTTCAAATACTAGCCCTGTCTGGCCTAGAAGTAGGCCGGAGTGTGGCCTGTAGGGTTGCCAGGTCTGGGTTGGAAAATACGTGGAGACTTTGGGGATGGATCTGGGAGAGGGTGGGGTTTGGGGAAGGGAGGGGCCTCTGCATAGTATAGTGCCATAGAGTCCACCCTTAAAGCAGCCATTTTCTCCAGGGGAGTTGATCTCTGTCAGCTGAAGATCAATTGAGAAAGCAGGAGATCTCCAGGCCCCACCTGGAGGCTGGCAACCCTAGTGGCCTGGAAATGTACACCAAATGAAGATGGAGCAGAGCCAAACAAAATGATTTCTGGCAGCAAGCAACAGGTCTGAACTTGCTATGTTGGGGAGGTGGCTTTAGGGCATCTGTCAAATTAATAGTTTCCCCCCCCCCTTCCAAGACAATAACAGTCCCTGTTTGCACCAGGAAATCCATTCATCCACACAGGTGCAAAGTTTTCTCTTGGGAACGCTACTGCACATTGTTCTGGTCCCAGTTAATCCCTTCAGCACACTGTTTCAAGGGACAGACACATTAGCATGCCCTCAAATCCCATTTTTCCCTATAACTAGGCAGCCACAGCTCCATTGCTGTGTGTCTTGTCTGGGTGCCTAGTGACAATGCACCCCCATATTGCTTGGGTCTTCTGTCAGACGCTGGTCCCCTCACTTCCTTTCTCCATGGACTTCTACTCTCCAGGACTACTTCTCCCCCAACAACCCCCTTTTATTCCTGCTACTCCCTTTTATTTCTGGATTTATCTTGTATGTATGGCATTTCTTGTATGCTTTCTGTATGTTAGCTCTCTTCTTTTCTATTTAATAAAATATATTTCTATTTTACTTTGGATTGGTCATTTCAAGAGTTCTCTCAAAGGAAAAGGTAAAGGTTCCCTTGCTCGAAAGCCAGTCGAGTCCGACTCTAGGGTTGCGGTGCTCATCTCCGTTTCAAAGCCGAAGAGCCAGCGCTGCCTGAAGACGTTTCCGTGGTCATGTGGCCGGATTGACTAGACACCAAGGCGCACGGAATGCTGTTCCCTTCCCACCGAAGTGGTACCTATTTATCTACTTGGAATTTCTTGCTTTTGAACTGCTAGGTTGGCAGGAAAAGATAAAGATCCCCATAAATACTGGTAGTGCCATCTCACTAGATTACCTCCCTCTCATCAGCTCTCCTTTTCTCCTTGCTAATTCCCCAATAAGGCAATTGGGCAACGCATAGCATTTGAGGTAACGCCACACTTAAAAGTAGCCTTGCTGTTGATGTTATGGTGTGCCACTTACATTCATTGACACCTGGAACATTTTCAGTGCATTATGCACGCACTATCCTTTCTGCATGTTAAGTGCTCCTATTTGCAGTAATCCATACTGGGTCCTCTAAACTTGAGATGACATTAAAAAAAAACCCCACAACCTATGGAAATACATAAATCATTAATCCTGCAAGATGGATACTTGCTAGGATTACATCACTGCTATACCTGATAAAGCTAGCATGGACCATGATGACTAACTCCCTAAAATATTACTCCAGAGATCCCATGATGATTTCTGTTACAGAAAAGGCCTGACACACCTCATAATCAATGTCCAAGTCATCCGAATCTCCCTTAGTCCGGAAATGCTGTGTATGCTTGTCCACTGTAAAGTTCACTTGCTTATTGAATCGCTCAATGAGAACCGAATGCCAGTGCTGGTCATCGAGGAGGCTGCCCAAGGTGAGTGAAGTGTGGCTGTTACTGAAACGCAGCTTAGCATCTCCTGTAGAGGCAATTAAAAGACATGGTTGGGAACAATAAATTCTTTCCTTTTATTACCCAGGCTCACGCACCCCTAATGTATCCAATCCTCCAAGAGTTTACAGTAGCCCCTGTAAGAAGAGCCCTGTAAGAAGAGCTCTGTAAGCTCTTGGAGGATTGGCTACATTAGGGGTGTGTCACCTAAGATGCAAAGGAGTTCCTGCTACAAAAAGAGCCAGTTTCTTCTCAAAGTTGTAAGTGAGGATCCCTTTCAATACAGAATACTGAAAGACATTCCATTTGAAATAAGACAAAGGAGAAAGAAATATAAAGAATTAATTCTTTTTCTACAGACAAATGCAACTGGATATAAATGGTTAACTCCAGAAGTGTAACCTTCAAAATTAAGGATAAAAAAGAAAAGATTGACTCTGTCCAGAAAGCATGGGAATTTCTAAGAGTCCAGATGGGAGGGCCAGGGAAGGAAGGAGAAAAAGGGGAGGACAGTAAGTCCAATGGCGAGCTGGACTCGGACTCCTCCAGGGAGGACTCTCTTTCAGAGAAAGGGTCGGCGGCCCCTAAAAGTCCTTATAAGCTTCGGAAGAGACTAGGCAAGGAGAAGTAATGGCTGAAGGACTGAACTGTGCCTTTAAAAGGAGTTGAAGTGAGATGCTTTGGGGTGTTTCTGTATAACAGTTGAATCTAAGATTTGAAAAAGATAATGTTAAACTTGACTCAGTTGATAGCAAGACTAACGGGATTAACACTAAATGGATGGTTAAGCTGGTGGGATGATCTCCTCTCTTGGGTTTTTAGTCAGTAGTGGGTATCTTTCTTTATCCTATAAATGTAGTTCCCCCTCCCTTTTTTCTGTTGTAGTTTTGTAGTGTTATAAAAAAATGCAATAAAAAATCCCCTCCGGGGGCTTAAAAAATACAGAAGGGATCCATCCACCTTGTGATCAATCCTCTGGGTGATGGTCTTCCAAGTGCAGCTTTTTTTTAACAGCAGTTGCTTTACACTTAATGAGCCATCATCTGATATTCCATCAATGGAAACTATTATCACTATACTTGGAAGTTGGGTCACAGAGGCACAGAAAATGCATTTAAATATACCAACACAAAAACTGCAAGTTTCTCCTTATTCAGTACTCCTATCTTTAATTAATATTGCATGTTTTGCAGTCCCAGTGACATATAAAGAGAAAATATAAATGCAAACTAGATCTAAGGGGGGAAAATTATTCTAAACCCACAATAGTGTCTGCCTGAATTTCATTTCTGCTGAAATGTCAATGCCATTATATCTGCCATGACAGTATTAAGAGACTTATTGCATTGCCTGTTACTCAGACCTAAAGAGCAGCTGTGACTGTAACACTTAAGCACACCATCTGGATTAACTGAAGAACGAGAACATATAAATATATCAGATTTATTGTGATCAGGGATAATACAATCTAATTACCCTTTCATTTCAACCCATTGCACACTGCTGAGTTTATTTTAATTTTAATTAGAATATTGCTATCTACATCAGAGAGAGAGAAAAACAACAACAAACGAGAATGCTAACAGTTTGGAATGCCATGGAAGAAATCTGTACTGCGAATAATATTTCTGTTGGACAAGTTTTCAAACTCCATAAGAGAGTAAGAATGATAGTGCCATTATAGTAGTGCTGTACAATGGTGGAATCCATGACTACCAATAAGAACATTGAGAAAGTCATTGCCTATTGGACATTGAGCAGGTACTAGAGAAATGTCTAGTTCCTAGTGTCCATTTCTGTTTGCCTCCTCCACTTTGCTGTGTTCATGCAACAGGAGGCAGAGATGTCTTCTCATAACTATCATAATGTCTGTTGTCATTGTTGGCACAATCATCATGCCAGTAGTAATTTTTAACAATTGAAAAAGGGGCGCATTGTTCATCGATCATGTTGGTTTGAATCCTGTAGCTTGGATCCAGCAGAGTGTTTCTGTGGATGGAAGGATCTCCCCCCCCCCCTGGAGTGCAACTGTCTTGTCTTTTTCTCTCCTGCTACACCCCGAAATGCCCTCGGAAATACCACTCTTAAAGCAGCGTTTTGGAAGGGATTGCTTTGGTCTACAGGTGGAGATGTGAGGTAAGAAAGCTGTGCTTCATAGGCAGAAATCAGTTCACCCACAAAAACACTCTGCTGGATCCAAACCATTGTGAAAAGCCTTGTTCTGGGAGGAGGAGCCTTGCTATGGCGGAGGAAGGCTTCCACATTTAGCAGAAGGAAATTGTAGGACCCAACCATTTACATGGATTTTAGTTACTCCTGTGTCCTTACTTATAGAGTTATCTAACAGAAGGTTTACCAGGAATCAGAAAGGTATGGAAAATAACTTAGGAATTATCTATCAACAACCAGATCAGAACCCTACCCATTTCCAGTGTAGGTTAAAAATGTGGCAGTAGAAGGCCTCATTTCACCTGGAAATTTGCATAAAGGCCAGGGCCTTTTCAGTGCCGGCTCCTACCTGGTGGAATGAGCTCCCAGAGGAGATGGAGCTCTTCCACCAGGTTTTCAACTAGGAGCCGCCCACCACTACTACCAACTATTACTGTCATCAACATATTGGTAATAGGTTGGCCCTTCATGAGATCGAGCCACAGTGTCGCGGGAGGCCGAAGTACTGCTAAATCGGGACCCTAGTATCACATCTTATTGCACACCACCCCAAATTGACTAAAGAATGACCATCATTGCGAGCACTTTATTGAATTTAATTGTATTTAAGGTACTACTGTTTTATCTTGTTTTAAAATGTTTTATGTCAATTTTGGCACATGCTGCCATCAATTGTGAGCCGCCTTGAGCCCGTTCACGGGGAGGGTGGGATATAAATCCAATAAATAAATAAATAAATAAATAAATAAATAAAAGGGCAACTTTTGAAGATGTTCCATTGCTTCTGTTCAAGACGTAGAGCTATACTGCTTTGTAGCAATATGTCTGATATTGCAATCTTATACATTCCAAGTTTAGTTTATTGTCTTAGCCATTGGCCATAACAACACAAAATAAATCAAAGCACAACCAACAGTATACATCAGTAACTTACAGTAAGTCCTAGACCCAGTCTTATCTTTTTCGCCGCCAGTGCAAACAAAGCCATTCTGCTAGTAACATGTGCATCAATATCAGAGAGCAAGAAAACGGTCAAATCCTGCTCTGAAATTCCATTATACAGAGGTACAATAGGATAAACAAACCTTTGCCTAAGTGGTTCATGCCATGAACATCTCAGAATGTAATGCACGACATCATCCACTTCACCCATACCACAGAGGCATATTCTGGAGGCGGCAGGGACACCCTGAAAGCGGCCAATACAAACCATTGAGGGTATGACATGGAACCTTAGGGCAGTAAAAGCCCTTCTCAGCTCCAGAGTAGTTAGTTTCTCTAGATATACAGTCCTGCAATGATCTCTTTTAAAGATCTTATACAAGGGGGCTGTACGGCAACTTACCAACACATGTCGGTTCAAAAGCCCATCCTTATTAAATACCCATTCCTTCAATTTAGACTTTTGGTTTTCGTTTATCAATAAGTCATTGGGGATTGAGTATTTCAGTAAAATAGAATTCAAGTGATCATCTAATCTTTTCGAGGATTTCAACAGCAATCCAAAACTTTGTACACCTAGAATATCCTGAGGTCATTCTAAACATTTCCTCCAATACAAGAGGATTCTTACATTTGCCCTGGCTTTCAGGGATACCATACCCAGTTCAGCCCTCATCAACGCCACAGGTGAACCTTTGGGTAAGACCAAAATCCGCCTTATAAAATAATTTTGCACAGTTTCTAGCAGGGACAGTAACGATTCGTCCCAACCCCAAATCTCTACCCCATACAGCATTGCTGGAATTATCTTGCTCATATATAATTTAACAACCGGGTCGAGATATTGCAATCTTATTCCACCTTGTATAAACGAAGTTAGATGTAATGCTCATTTCCTGTTGTCTTAACAAAAACTGGAGAGGAAGTTGGCAGATAGTTTCAGTAACATATAATAGTGGGTTAGGCATAATATTAGGGAACTTTTTGTTTGTGACTTTTCACATCTACTGAAAAGAATTTTACCGGATATAATCATAAAGCCAGGTAAAGAATGGTAAACAAAAAAAATCTTATCACCACACTACCATTTGGCAAGGTACTGTCTACACTGGAATAGTGTCCCTCGTTACATTTTTTTTCTATCTACGATCCAACTAGGTGTCACGGGCTGGAATGCAGGCACAACAAGGGAGGGATAGTCCAAGTCCAAAGCTGAGGGGTCAGCGAGACAGGAACCGAATAACAGTCCAGAGCCAAACCTAAAGTGTAGTCATCAAAGCAGAGGTCGAGGAGCTGAGAGCTCAGAGTGTGGGTCAGGAACTGGAACACGGGTGAGGTGGGTGCAGAAGCGTTCATCTAGCTGACTAGTTGCTGGTACGAGGTACTAGCACGGAATAGGGAACTAAATACCCCTCAAGGCTGCTGTCAATTAGCGTTCAGCGTGTGCATCCTGGCTCCTGCTAGAGCTCAGGGCTGAGGGACCACCTGCTGTGGAAGTGTGCCTCCCTTCGCCAGGATGCTAAGTCCTGATGGAGCTGGCTCCGCAGATGTGCCACCTGCAGAGGCGAGTCGGGGGGGGGGGCTGTCTTCTGTGCATTGTTCCTCCTCAGCTGTTGTTGGGACGGCTCATCAGGAACATGTGCAGGTTCTGCTGGGGTTGGGAGCTCATCCTCAGCAGCACTCAGGACACTAGGCTGGATAATACCAGAAGCTACAACTTTTAACAAATTCTTTAGGAGTCAATTTCTTTCTTCCTACAGAATCCATCTTACAACTCTCTACTTTCTTTGAGGAAATAATGAATTAGAAACAAAAACTCCACTGTTCCAAGGATATCTACAATGTTAATATGTTTTGTTTTTTTTAAAAACAAAAACACTGCTATGTGAAAGAGAGAGCCCTAACGTTTTGAAATCT